CGCTGTGAATTCTACATTCTCACCTGTTATAACAAAGTAGCTTCACAGTAAGTTCTTTCACATATTTGAGAAGTACTATCCGTCTTTTAGTAGATGCCGAAAACAAAATATATAAGCCTTGAAACATACGCAAAAAAAGTTAGAACTTCTTGGGAAATTTGGCTATATCTCCCAATAGGAGATTGTAATTATGACATTTGTAAGGTGTGAAAAATGGCTCGTGAATTTTTATTTAGCAGTCTAGCTTGAGCTCCTAAATCCTTTCCTTTTATGTTAGTACGTATTCCATAGCCTTGCTTGGATGCTGTTAATGTTCAGTGTTAAGAATTTTAATTTTTGCTTCAACGCAGAAAATTTATTTTATCCTGTACAATGTAATCTCTACATGTATAAATTTAATATATTCTTCATATACTTTGTTTGTTCACTTTGTTGTTCACATACGTTGTTTATATACGTTGGCACTTTAACCTGGTAATGAACCATATGAAACATATTTGAGGCTAAGAGATATTTGTTCTTTACGGCTGATATCTGAGGTATCAAGAATCACAGCAAAATAACGTTTTTTTCGACTGTAATGTTTAGTTACAGTGATTTTCTAATTGGATTTGTTGTTTGTCATCTTTTTTATTTTTTTCTTTATTTTTGCCATCACCAACTTTTTTATCGTTACAATAACTTGCTGTTTGTCTTTATCGTTTTTATAATTGTTACTAACTTTTTTATCATCTTTGTCATTGTTTTTTTTTTTTGAATTATTTTAATTTTTTTATCTGGTTTTTTTCAGCATTTCCTATTTTTAAGTACTTATTCAAAGTACTTTCATCTTTTTTTTTGTAATTAATTTTCAATTTGTACTTTCACTTTCACATTTTCTACATGCATCTCTATCTTTCCAAATTTAGTAAAAATAAAATATACTTTCAGTTACAAAATTTTTTTTTAAAAGAATTTCTACTTTCTTGTTTCACATTTTCAGTAATTAAGGACTTTTTTTTTTTAATTAAAGAGATAAATATATACTCTGTATTGATTGACTCGCTAGATTGATTCAAAGTTGACGAACAATTTTTGTAAACTAAACCTTTGAACAACAAATTCGTCAAACCAATATAATTTCATTTGTTTCTATGAAACTTTTTTTTTATCATGAAGCTGTGGTGTTTCTTACTTAGAGCACGCTCTTATCCCTAAGGTTAGAAATATTGGACCAAAAATCCTACGTTATTTTGGTATTGAAAACTTGTAATCCTGGGATTACGGTATTAATACCGGTATTATTATTTTTTCTATAACAAATAAATAAATAGTTTAATTAAAAAATGGTTTTATAATAAAAAAATAAATTAATTTAATAAATGAATAAAAAACAAAATTCATAAAACTGTTAATTATATATTAATTATAAAAAAAGATAGAAAATATAAAGTTTAAATTATTTTTGAAATTGATTGATATATCATATATCAATCAATTTCAGAAATAATTTAAATATATAATTTAAATTATTTCTGAAATTGATTGATACAGATTGTTGAACAAATTTCCATTATATAATAAAGTTAAGTATTTGCTTCTTATGCCAAATAAGTTGATTGATATAGATCGTTGAGCAAATTCTTGTTATAAAATTAAGTATTTGTTTTTTATCCCAAATATTCTTATTCAATAATAAATCTTATTCAAATTGCTTTAACTGCTTAATGGGAAGTAAAACTGAAAGTATACCCGACAACATTCCAAACTCGGCATCTGAAAACAAAATAGGTGATTTTAAATCTATTAGACTCTTTTGAAGCAATTTTTTAATTTGATGAAACTATCATAGACACCAAACTATTCCATCATGTTCTTGAGTCTAAAACAAGAGACAATTTTTTCCCCGAACTCTCATCTCATATATTTTTGAAGTATTTTATCATTTTTTGTAGACGATGTTTGAAATATTTTGACCACTTTAGGAGTTTTATTAATTAATGGTAACATTTGTTGATGTCCGAGAAAAAAAGAATTATCATCATCATTTTCAGTGGAGATTATGAGTAAACCATTTTTATTTTCGTAATCAACTAATTCGTCGTCATCTGTGGAATTCTGCTCTTTTTAAAATCTAAGTGTGTTTTTCTGCACGATAGTTCTTTAATCACTTGGTCTACTGTAATTCATTTTGTAAACTGTTTTGTGATTTTTTGGTATGTTAGAAAATCCTCTGGCTGTTTCTGGCTGTTTAGCCCAAGAAAAAAAGTTATATAGAATTTTATATAAACATTTGAAACATATGGCCTATAGAAATTCTATAGAATTCTATAGAATTTTCTCTATAGAGATTTATTATAGATATATAATTATATTATTTCTCTATAGAAATTATATATAGAAATCTCTATAGAGATTTCTATATATAATTTCTATTCTGTTAAAATATCCTATTGAATTTTTTTTTAATTTTTTTTTTTATAGAAAAAAAAAATTTATAGCAATTTCTATAGAAATTAATAGAAATTCTATAGAAATTCTATAGAGTTTCTATAGGCCATATGTTTCACAAGTTTATAGAAAATTCTATAGAACTTTTTTCCCTGGGTTTTCTGATATCATATTACGTGCAGATAATTTTTTAACGATAAACCATCATTGAGCAGCTGTAGCGCAATGGTTAGCGCGTTTGCCTCAGAAACTAGAGATCCGTGGTTCAACGCCACCTCTGAGCAAGTTTAATAATATCAGTAAGGAAGGAGGCGTGAACTTTCCTTCAAATGCTCTTCCGCGATGCTTAGTGATAAGACCGTAAGGACTTCATAATGTTTTTACTATTCTATTACACAATTTGCATTTAGTCATGCTTTTTCTTTTAGAAAATGAAACCATGGTGAACTTTTATCATTTTTACCTCAAAATCTTAAATATTGATATCGGTGTAAAATACATATTTTCTAAAAGTTCAAAACACGATAATAAAGTATATAATTTATACTCTGATTAAAAAGAAAATATTTTACTTACCGTTTGAAGTTTTATATAATATTTTTTTAATTTAACAATTATAGCACATAAAAGTAACCTATTATACTGTATATCATATAACCACAATTTAATTTTGTACAATGAATTTTATTTTGATTTATAAGATCAATTAAACTTTTAAACTTTTCATAAAACACTAAATTGCTTTTTTTTCGGATTAAGAAATAATAATGCAAATTTTTTTTTTGTAGTAAAAAACTATAAAAAACATTATATTGGTAAAATTATTTCAAATGGTGAAGTTATTTCGAATGGTGAAATTATTTTTAGTATCAAAATAACGGTATTCGACTTAAAATACCGGCATTTCGGCAACTCTAGATCCAAATACCGGTATCTCGGTACCCCGGATCCAAGTATTCCCAACAGTACTCCTATACAAAAAAATTAAAAATAAAATCTTAGAAGTTAATTAAACAAATTTAAATAAAGATGAACTGATAAATTTCAAAGGTTTTATTCATAACAAAGTTAACATTTGCATTGCTATAAAAAATAAAAATAAAAAAGAACAACGGCAAACTTAATACATGTTTGAGACTTGGTTATAGTAAAAAAATAATAATTTGTCATACTGAATTTATGCTATATATTTGAAAAAAGAAATTTTGGAAATAGGAGAAAGATTTTGAATAATATTGATAAATTATATTATTTTTAGCTATTAATTCTATTAATAAAAAATTTTTATCTTCAGCCTATTAGCTCAAATGAAAACTGTTTTAATCTAAGACTATATCCCAATTTTTCAACCAGAGTAGCCCATATTCTTCGTATAATGTGTTATTATATTTTATCATAAGGTGGTATGTATTGTTCCTGAAAACTCATGTAAATACATGATTTCTGAATTAAGATGATTTCTGGATTATATTGATTTCTAGATTGCTTGATCTCAAATATGCAAACACAATAGTTGCTTTTTGTAAAAACTCCGTTCTCTCTTTAGTGTTTACACATTGTTAATATTATAATATTAACATTATCTCAAGAAAAGTTTCAACTATACTCTTTAATTATACTAAAATTTAAAATTTTTAATTATACTCAATACTATACTATACAACTATACGAATACTAAAATTTATACTATACTATACTAATTATATAACCTCTTATTATATAATTATATAATAATTATATAATATATATATAAATATATATTACATAATATAATACAACTATACTAATACTAAAATTTGCGGCAATTTTTTATGCTTTTAAAATAACTAGTTCCTAAAGAGTTGCTAAAAAACAAACAAAAGATAGAAACAAAGATTTTACATACTAACTAGCGTACTACGTTATAAATTTATATAATTTCTTTGCGTTTAACTTATATTTCAAGTTAACTAATATTTCAGCGCTCTTTAAATTTCTTAAAAACCCTTAATACAAGATGAACATCTTTATATAACAGCATCCCAATCGGCACGAGTCGTCCGGGCAATGTGTGACGAACGTCTCACAGACGTCCCACGGACAACGCCTACTGGGATCAATCTAAAAAGTATTGAAATTTTCTTAAAACTTTTTTTTTTAAACTTTTATGAATAAATTATTAATTCAAACATAAAAATATTTAGAATTTTTTTTTTTTTTTTTTTATGTTTCTTTGTACGTTTTATTTTTGTACCTTGTGTAATCTTGTCTAAAATTATTTACCTGTTAGCCTCAACCACCAATATAGTCAGTTACAATCATATTTTTAATCGCAAGTGCCAACATCTATCGCCAACCACAGCCATCTTTTATAAAAAAAAGCTTAACTTGTTTTGAGAAACCAAACTTCTTGATTTGATAGATTTTCTGTTAATGTCTATGATCATTCTTTCTTTTTTTTTTTTACATTTTATTTGTTCTAATAACAACACTAATTTATTTTTTAAATGTAATTTTAATGAAATTTTTGTCAAAATTTAAATTTAATATTCAATAAGTTCAACTTAAAATATTTAGAAGATGCTTTTTAGGCTGGAATCAAAATAGTAGTTTAACAACCTCGATACCAATCCATCCATCCGTTAATAAAACTGTCAACTTACTAAACCACTCAATAATAAACGAAACAATGAATACAGGCAATTTAAAAATGAATAAAACCAAAGAAAGAAATAACTTCGTTACAAACTCTACAAAATATGCAAAAAAGTTGATCAGCAGTCTTGATTCTAAAATAAATGAAACAAACGAAATGCAAACAGCCTTAAATCTAAACTTAAAAAAAGGCATTGGTAAAAAGTTTGGTAAAAGTAACAAAGAAAGCAGTGATAGTGCAAAAAACAAGCATATTGGTAATGTCAGTAACTCTACAAGGAAAATCTCAAACAACATAGTTGCAAAAAATACCTCTGCTGAATGCAATGTAGTGCCTGATGACAAAAATAAAATGAACTATTCAAGCCAGTTTAATGATTTATGTATTAAAACCAATTTGTTTAAGAACGATGACAGATATAGAATTGAACAATCGCATGGCCATGAGGATTTACGTAAGTAAAATACATTTTAAAATTCATTTTCTTATTCGATATAAATACATATTTTATAGTAAATGAAACATTAGTTTTGAAAAAAAAATTAGCTTTTAAACAAAGGAATACACGCCTAAATTTAAGATTGCGTAGCTCTGATTAAGTTTAAGGTTGCGTAGCATATTAGTTGACATGCGCAAATATAGCAGAGGTAAACAAACTATATCGAATAAAAATAAAGTTAATTTTCAAGATAATAGTCAGATATGGATATTGAACATAAAGTAGATTAGAGTAATATGAGCACCTTAAGCAAAAATTGGAATATTTTCAAAAATAATTATGCTAGGTCCAAAATTTTTGCAAATAAGCAATTTTTAACGATCCCTAACCATGATCCTTTTAGATATTTGGGCACCCAAAATTTTTACTTAAAAATTCAGCGGTTTTAAAAAGTAGCAAAAGTGCTCATAGCACCCAGACCATTAGGTAATATGAGCACTTTAAATTAGCTCAAAAAATAAAATTAATTAAGTAAAAAAACACAAATCTCACCATTAGAACTTATTTTTGGAACATAATGATTCATTATTAATAAAACTTATTATTAAAAGATCAAATTTTGAACCACTTTTTGTTGAAACAATAGGGGAAAGCGGGGCAACATGGCGAATGGGGCAAGATGGGTTTTCATATAACAACTCAACAAAAAATCTTAAAATTGGGTGGAAACGAAACTTTATTTGCATCTTGTATTTTAAAACACTTATTGGCTTTTTGAAATATTATTAACGCAATTTTATACACATAAGTTTACTTTTAGCGCCTAAAAAAAAATTCCTCACTTTCGGTTTCTCATAATGGATGGTGCCCTTCAAGTTTAACCTCTTTAAAAGTAGTTTTTTGCAATTTGTGTTTATTTTTTGTTACTTTAGTTAGAGTTATTGGTAGTTTTAAAAATTTTATAAAATTGGAGGTAAAAATTGCATAATAAGTCATCTTGCCCCGGTCACGTGACCAGATGACAAATTTATGAACTTTTTATTTTAATATTTATTTCAAGTTGTTATATTTGCAAACTGAAAATTCATGCAAGCAGTGAAAGAATTTAATAACATAAACATACTGAGAAAGTATTATGGCTTCACGATTTATAGTTTTGCAACAACTCAGGGCTTTCAAAACGTTCGCCATGTTGCCCCGCTTTCCCCTAATATTATATTTACCGAAAAAAAAAAAAAATTAATTCGTTACTTTTTCAATTTTATTAACTCAAACCTTTCAACGATAAAAAAATTCAGATTTTTTGAATTTAAATTACAGAAAAATATTTAGTATTGCTAAAATATTAAAATTTTTTCTATGTTTTGTTTTTATTCAAAAAGCAATTAAAACCACTGCTATTTTAGGACTTTAAACTAAGTAGGAGAACTTGGAGCATAGTGGATTGGTGAATCACAGTAGATTTCACACAGTGGATCGGAATCCTTTGTTTTTTAAATTGAGCAAAAGTTAAAAGATGTCTTTTTTTTTTTTCAAGGCGAAAGGATTGAGATATATGTCCTTCAATATAATAAATCACTAAAACCCAAATATTTATTATCTAATGGTTCAAAGTGAGGTTTAAAGTGAGTTTTGTTATGTTATTCACTGTACCCCAGTACTGGGGCACAGTGAATAATTGAACATAGCCGTGGTTTAATGATAGTGAATAGGCGAAAAGCCAAATAACTTTGAGACTGAAAGAGTAAAGATACTGTACACTATACTTTCGGCTTTTAATAATCAGATTACTATAAAATCGAAAAAATAGACATTTTGAAAAATGAGAAGAAAAAAAAAGAATTTTATTGAAACAAAACTTATAGAAATATTAAAAAACTAAAAATTATTCAAATATCATTATTTATGTAACTTAAAACTAATAAATTCATTTTCATGTAGTTTGTTTGTTAAAAACGCATGAACTTAGTCTTTAAAACCATTTATGGGGAAAAGTGAATCAACCTATTCACTGTACCTCAATTCACTGTGCTCCACCATAACAAATTAAGTTTAAGTCTAATTTTTTGGGACATGAGTGTTGTTAAAAGAAAAGCTAAACTACTAAAAGGAAGCATAAATATAAATAATCCGAATGAAAAACTTTAACTTTTGAAATTACTTCAACCATGATTTTCATAACAAACATAATGATGGTAAAAAAATTTACTTTAGTTAGCTAAAGACAAAAATTACCTACAAAAAACCGGTAGTCAAAAATTAAGTTATAACTACTATAAATAAAGATGGCTGATATATGAGCATATAAAATGGTTACATTATCAAGATGAACAAAATTCTAATCTTTGAGAAAATGTCTCTTATTCACTGTGTCCCTCAATCCACTGTACCCCAAATTCCCCTAATTTCGACGAAAAACTGGGTAGTTTGAGCATGCTCATATTACACAAAAATGGCATCTTTAAATAAAGTCAAAACTAAATGTTTGTATGCATTGTTTTTCAAACAAAAATGGATTGCTAACACATTTTTCTTTATGAAAAAATTAATTACATTATTTTGCGTGACAGATTTATTCATGCGTGATGATATTATTTTAACAACGCAAAAAATTTAACAGCGTTTTAATTAGATGATACCCGCTAATTACTGCATATAAATTTACGCTAATTGTACTGGCTCCAGTTATCACCACATAAAGTTGATTCAAAAAATACAAAACAACTTTAACTTAACTGTTTACATCTAAGAAATCTTTAAGTATGCTCATTTTACCAAGGTGCTCATACTACCCTAATCTACCCTAAAGCTTTTTTAAATCAAATGAATTTACAGGATTTTAAAATCTTTTAAAGTTCTAAGAGTATTTTTAGGCTTAAGAAAAAAATCTTATGAAGTTGATTACAAAGCATTAGTATATAGATAAATAAAATATCTTTTTTTATATTTATTTATCAACTTTACTGCTATCTTTTCTTATATATTAGAAAGATTAAAATAAAGCATAATATATAAATTTTTTAAATGTGTGAAATAAATATAGCTTAAATACACAACTCAAATTTTTAAACAAAAATATAGCTAAAATGCATAATTTAAATAATCAAACAAAAATTATTTATTTGTACTGATACTGCACTTAGAAATTTTAAAAATCACGAAAAATTTTCAGACATAACTATTGTATTAGTTTATTTGTAGAATTTTTATTCTACTTTTTATATAAGGCAATGGTAGCTTGGGAAGAAAGAATGGTAAAGAAGGCAATGGTAGCTTGAGAAGAATAAATGGTAAAAAAGGCAATGGTAACTTGGGAAGAAGGAATGGTAAAGAAGGCAATGGTAGCTTGGGAAGAAGGAATGGTAAAGAAAGCAATGGTAGCTTGGGAAGAAGGAATGGTAAAGAAGGTAATGGTAACTTGGGAAGAAGGAATGGTAAAGAAGGTAATGGTAGCTTGGAAAGAAGGATTGGTAAAAAAGGCAATGGTAGCTTGGGAAGAAGGAATGGTAAATAAGGCAATGGTAGTTTGGGAAGAAGGAATGGTAAAGAAGGCAATGGTAGCTTGGGAAGAAGGAATGGTAAATAAGGCAATGGTAGTTTGGGAAGAAGGAATGGTAAAGAAGGCAAAGGTAGCTTGGGAAGAAGGAATGGTTAATAAGGCAATGGTTGGAAAGAGTTCCCGTAACATTTAACTTGCGTTAGCAACGCAACGTAACGTTTTTATTGCAGTAAGAGAATCGTGCATTCATTCAATAGTGTTGCGAAGGTAAAATTTACCGGAAAATTTTCCGGTAAAATTTGAATCAAAGTTTACAGTAAAATTTACATCAAAAAATGTATTTAATAATTAAATCATTGTATTTCTATTTTTGATTAACAAATACGAAAACATTAGATGAAAAAATCAAGTTTAATTTATTTTATCTTAAAAAATTTTTAAAACAATTATTAAAATATCTACAAATATATCTAATATCTAAACATTTATATAACTTATAAATATATTTTTTATAAAGTTTATTCGATAAATTTTTATTTTTTTTATTTTTATAAATTTTTCTCAATTCATTTTTCAATTTGTTTTATTTCAAATACTATTAGAGACATTATTAATTAGACACTATTAATGTGTGACAGTGAAATACTGAATGTGTGACAGTGAAATACTGAATGTGTGACAGTGACAGTGAAGGCTTCCTAAAATAGTAGAAAACTTAAACTTGCATTAGTGGTTTTAGTGCGATCAATTAGTGGAAACTTTGTGCTATTTAGGGTAAAATCATGAACTTGGTGTTGATAAGGTTAAATCATTTATTTTAAGGTCCGATCTATTTTGGAAATGACTTTACATGATGTCCATGAAAACTAGTACCTGTCCATTGCAACAAAATTTTGTTTTTCCGAAATCTAATAATTTATGCCTCAATCGATTAACTGATAACAAGCTACAGGGCTTTTAAATATAATAAATAAAGGGAGTAAATTGGTACAAAGTATTGCATGCAAAAAAAAAATATTTTATTTATTTAAAATATAGAATTAGTTTATTTGCATTTTTTCTTTATAAAAAAGCATTTAATAAAGACGATCAAGCCCATAGAACATAATGTCTGAAATTCATACAAAATTGAATAAATCCTTTGGAGCTGTCCTTAAAGGACGTCACTATTTTTGAGACAATTGACCCACTCCCCCTTTCTTTATCACCGGTTGTCCTTTTTTTCTATACCGCCATTAAAAAGGATGTTATAAATTTGGTCCCCCCCTCTCTCTCTTTATTTTTTAAAACAAAATTCGTTTCTTAATTTAAACATTTTTTTGAAATTTTTCACATGAATTACATTTTTTTGTGTTTTCATATCATTTGGTAGTTTATTGGGTGTTTCTACGTTTGTTTCAGTCATTTGTTCTTGTAGGCCTCCCTGAAAAAAAAAAAATTGTTGTATTACTCATATTCTGTATACTAAATTTAATCAAAGTATGTCATGGAAACTTGCCTCACTATTCGTCCCTCC